CAACGAGTGGTGGAACCGGAATATCAGAATTGGATGAGTAAACTAATGGGGTATAATTTTTCGATCGTTTACAAACAAGGGAGTGCTAATAAAGCTGCTGATACACTCTCTCGTAAACATGAAGAGATAGAGTTTTCTAATTTGAGTGTGCCATCATGGAGACAGTGGGAAAGTTTGAAAGAAGAGTTGGAAATGGATGATTTATGCTCAAAATAAAAGAAGAAATGTTGAAAGATGTTAGTCGACATAAAGGTTTTGAAGTAAGACAAGAATTGTTATTCTTTAAGAGTAGATTAGTGTTGCCCAGAAAGTCGATGATCATTCCAAAGTTGTTTGAAGAATTCCATGCGTCACCAATCGGGGGACATAATGGTGAAGAAAGAACGTACAAACGGATGGCAGCTGAGTTATTCTGGATTGGTATGAAGAAGGACGTACTTAATATGGTTAAAGGATGTGAAACATGTCAGAGGAACAAATCAAGTGGTTCACCGGGGGGATTACTACAGCCGTTGACTCTTCCAGACACAGTTTGGAGTGATATTTCGATGGATTTCATTGAGGGTCTACCAATTTCGGGTGGTTTGAATTCTATCTTGGTGGTGGTAGACAGATTCAGTAAATATGCTCATTTTGTGGGTCTAAAGCATCCTTTTACGGCTCAATCGGTAGCGGAGGTATTCTCTAAGGAGATAATCCGATTGCATGGGGTACCTAACTCAATCGTTTCTGATCGTGACAAAGTATTCCATAGTAACTTCTAGAAAGAATTGTTCAAATTGCAGGGGACAACTCTGAAGTTCAGTTCGGCTTATCATCCACAAACGGATGGTCAAACCGAAGTGGTGAACAGAGGGCTGGAGCAATATTTGAGGTTGCTAGATTTCGGATAGACCTCGCCATTGGAGCAAATGGTTATCATGGGCAGAACTGTCATACAACGCGGCGTATCACACAGCTCTTAAATGTTCTCCATTCAAGGTGTTGTATGGACGGGATCCTCCTCCTTTATTACGTTATAAAGATGCTTCAACTGTGGTACAAGCGGTAGACATCGAATTGATGAGTCGAGATGAGATTTGGGATGAGGTACGAATGCATCTTTTGAAGGCGCAGTGTAGAATGAAACAGCAAGCTGATTTGAAACTAACCGAGGTGGATTTTGTTGTTAATGATTTGGTGTTTCTGAAGCTTAGACCGTATTGACAAAAATCCCTTGTGAATGGGAATAGCCCAAAGTTGATGGCAAGGTTTTATGGTCCTTACAAAGTCTTGGAAAAGATCGGAAAAGTCTCTTATCGTCTAGAGTTACCAGAGGGAGTAAGGATACATTATGTCTTCCATGTATCACAACTTAGAAGAGCTGCTGGGAATTGTTTGGTTACGAAGAACATACCAACTCAAGTATCTGCTGATATGGTGTTACAAGTAGAGCCGGAAGCCTTGTTGGATGTTAGACGGCTGGAAAAAAATGATGCAGGAAGTTTGGAGGTGCTAGTCAAGTGGAAAGGGCTGTCCGATTTCGAGTCGACTTGGGAGAATTTGGAAGCTTTGGCTCGACAGTTTCCTAATAATCACCTTGAGGACAAGGTGAAAGCTCTGTGGGGAGGTATTGATAAGCCTACTGTACGTTTTACATATAAAAGAAGATTTAAGTAGTTTAGTTGTAAATAAGTGGAGGGTAGTTTGGGTATTTTATGAATAGAATAATTGAGACAGTTCCTTTATATTGGGAAGTTTGTTAGTGGAGTTGCATTCTGTTTTGTAAGTTTGAAAAGGAGCGCAAGCTCTCTAGGGAGAGAACCGGCCTCTCGAAAGCCGTGTACCCTCTGTAATCTCTTTTTCTTTACTCAATTCAATAAGGAAGCTACCGACAACAATCAATTTGCATCAGATGCATATCACATTTTCATGTTCACTCTCATCAACATTAAAAGCTTGCTCCTAAGGCCCTAAAGTGTGTGTTTGTTGGGTTTCCTAGTACCCGTGGCAAGTAATGAAGTGGTATGTAAAGATTTGGTTGATCTTGATTTTCCTATCGCTATCCAAAAAGGAAATCGAAATTGTACATGACATCGAATTGCTAACTCTTTGTCATTTGAAAATCTCTCACCATCATATAAATCATTCTCACCAAATTGCATGAAAATAGAATACTCTTGAGTGTGGATAAGGCCTACAACAACCAAAATGGAGAAAAACTATGGAAGAATAAATGACAGCTCTTAAAAAGAACACAACTTGGGACAAAGTTGAACTACCTTAAGGGAAGAAACTTATTGGATGATAATGGTTCCACACTATTAAGCATGAGACAGATGGTTCCTTAGAGAAGTACAAAGCATGGCGCTAAAGGATACACTCAAACATATGGACCTGATTACCTTGATTCTTAAAAGAAGGAATACAATCAGAATTCTCTTGTCAGTAGCACCTTTGATTGGCCTCTACTGCAGTTTGATGTGAAAAGTGATTCCCTACATGGCAATCTAGAAGAGGTTGTTTACATGGAAGCACCACCGAGCTTTGATAAACTTTTGGCGAAAGAACTGTGTGCCAATTAAAGAAAGCACTATATGGATTAGAAAAGTCCCCATGAGTTTGGTTTGGCAGTTTCATACATACGTTGAAGAGGATGGAGTTTACAAAGCCCCAAGGAGACCATACCTTTGATTGTGAAGAGATCCAGAGGGGGAAAGGGTTTAAGGTTAGAGCCTTCATTGCGTATATTTATGCTATTAATGCCACTGGAATGAACTTTGTGATACGGAGGCTCGGGCATAAATTGTCAGAAGAATTTGAAATCAAAGAACTAGGAAAACACAAGTATTTCCTTGATCAAGGTAGCATACTCCAAAGAAGGCATAGTCCTCTCAAAAGTATATTCTAGATCAAATATAGGAAATAGGGATGTTTGGTTGTAAATCCTCAGACACAATAACTGAGCAACGGCACACTCAAGGAAAAACTAAGAGGAGGAGATATTAAAAGTTGGTAGGCAGATTAATCTACTTATCGCACACTCTCCTAGATATAGCCTACAAGACAAGTCTAGTTGATCAATACATGCATATGCCAAAAGAGGAACACTTAAAGGCTGTATACAAAATTTTAAAATACTTGAAAGGCACACTTAGCCTTGAAGCTTACACCGATGCAAAATGGACAAGGCCCAACAGTCTCAGGACTCTCTTGGAGAAGCAAAAACATGAGGAACCATGAAGTTGTACGTACAGCAACAATAAATCAATCATTAACACAGCCCATAATCCTGTCCAACACGACCGCACGAAGCATGTGGAGATAGATCGTTGTTTAATAAAGACGAAATTGGAGAGTGGCTTGTTATGTATGCCATAGGTTCCATGACGAGAACAACTAGCCAGCATTCTTACTGAAGGACTATCCGATACTTCACTTTAACTGATATTGTACAAGAACGGGATGAAGGACATTTTCATGCCAAACTTGAAGAGTGTCGGTAGAACTTAACCTTCCTATTCTTTAATTTAGAAATATGATCCCTGAGTCCGTGGGAATATATTTCTATTGTAGCATATTTTTGTGATTTTCTCTACAGTCTGAAAGTTCTGTTTTGTTAATTAGCAAACTCCTTATTTTAGGGAATGTATGTTAGGTTGTTTATAAACCATCTTATCATCAATAAAATAGCACAAAAAATTTCTTTAAAACTTCAATGGTCTTCTTCTTGACTCGATTATCAACTAAGCGCTTACATAAAGTTATACATCATAGAATGATCAGTAAAACAAAGATTTATCATGGCATTCTTACCTCAATTTGCTGTCAAATGCTTTGAACTTCGAACAACACTTCCTACTTCAATTCCCACAAAATCACTTATGGGTTTCTCGTACTTCAATTTGAACCACACTTCCTACTTAAAACTCTTTTCATCTTCACAGAACAGGTCAGCAGGCTCTCTTTAATGACTGATCAACCCCTGGACTTCTAACTTCCGCATGATTACACTTTCAGTTCTTGTCTTTGACTTTACATTATTACATTTGGGGTCAAATTTTCGGGTGTTACAGAAGGCAGTAAAGCTATGAGAGAGTAAGCGATTTTAAGAAATTTTTTATGCCTTTTCTGCAACGACATTACAAGAGCATGGTCAGAATCACTTTGGCATACCTGAATATTTCTTCTTGTATTTTAGCAATTACAATGTTTACTTTTCTGTGAAATTACAAGTAGAATGGTTGGAAAGCTCACTCGTATTATACACATACATACATGAGTTGATAATCTAGATAGAGTTGCATTTTCAGCCATAGGAAAACTAAGCAATTGAAACTGGTTGATCTCCCAGCAGAAAACAAAAATTATGGCAAGGAAAGTCGTGAACAGAATTCTGAGAGAAGTTTGGGCATTATGCACTTTATATGACGGATCCTATATGGCGTCTATTGAAATGGCACTTCCAGAAGAATAAGAACAAAGAAGCTGATCGAGGATAAGGCAGTGTAGTAGTAGCGCAAGGGGAAACAGACAAGTTGGTATGATGAATATCTCTTAACGGAATGAGCCCACATTTGTTTACTGTTATGTTCTATTGAGAACCTAAATCAATTAACAATGTAATATGCTAATCCATAAGATATATATATTTTATCTGAAGATGCATGCTTTAAATTGGGCACAAAAATAAATGGATCATTAAGCAATTAATGGTGTCTGATTTCTCCCCAACTGGTAACTATAGAATTTTTATATAGTTCCATTCACAATATAAGCATGATTCTCTATTATTCAGGGACAGAAATAGGCTAGCTTCTTCTCTATGTGGAGGGGAATCTAGCACAAAAGCGCTCACTATTCTGCAAAAACATAGGCCAACGTCTTTCCACTTTCTGATATAGTGGCAAGGAGTTATGTAACTCCATAATGATGTACAACCCCCAAAACACCTTTTTAAGAGAAGGGAAACAAAAAAAATAAGAAATGGTTATAAATAGGAAATTAATCAGCCATTTTACCATAATTGGAGTCTTTGTCATTGCCCAAACCTCCACAGGTGCATCACGAAACAAGATCAAAAGATACCTGCAAAATTTATCAAGGATGTGCATCATTAAGATTCCCACAAGAATGCAGATTTTAATAAATGAACTACTTCCATATCTATGTTAAGTAGAAAAAAAGCCATTGCTCCTTGATTGATTGAACAACATGCTTTATATGACCTTTTAACTTTTTCTGTTCCCACAACCCCAATTGCCCCTGCCCAAGGAAAAGAGAAATAGTTCTAAGAAGCAAGAAAGGTTAAGCACTGATAAACAATTTTCAGACACTCTTCATGTTCGGTTCCAGAGGTTAAGACTTTATCACTTTTAGGTAGCACTAACAAATGAACTAAAGCGACTGCAGCACAACCTAATCAGATGTGACAAACTACCTAATATGAACTTGGCCTGAATTCGAGAACAGGTGATCTCCTAAAAACCGATGAGGTCTTATTTTATTAATATCATAAGGAAAAACAATCAATGGAGCACCATATTTATAGTGTCCTGCTAACAAAAACAATCCTAAAAAGACTCAAATATGTAACTTGCCAGATAAAAAATCCTAAAAAGACTCAAATACTCAAATAAAGACTTATCCTAATTTAAATAGTTAAATAAACCCAACTAGCCTTATCCTTCCATCCAACCTATCGACGTCTCTGATAAACTCTCCCGAACCTTTGGGGCGTATCATTACTCCCCTCCCAAACACGCACCTTGTCCTCAAGGTGGAAATCAGGAAACTGACGGTTCATTGCCGCTGACGGTTCCCACGTAGCCTCATACTCGGGTAGATTCTTCCACCGGATTAGGACTTCTTGACCCGTAGGCCCCTCACGAACCCCCTCCACAAGTTCGGGCTGCAACAAGACCTCCATTTCCTCTGTTAAAGTAGCTGGTAGTGTGGGGGTAGCAAGCCGGTTGCCTATAGCTTGCCACAACTGTGATACGTGAAAGACAGGATGAATTATGGCTGTCTCTCTGGTAACTATAGGTGATATGCAACCTTTCCAATCCGCTTCAAAACGGTAAATGGGCCGAAAAATCGAGGAGCCAACTTTTCATTACGATGACGGGCAACCGAATGCTGCCGGTACGACTTCAATTTAAGATGCACTTGATCACCAATGGTAAATTGGACATCGCTCTGATGCCGATTAGCCTTACTTTACATTAATTGTTGTGCCTTGAGCAAGTGTCCCCGTAATTCCCGGAGGATTCAATCCCGTTCCTCCAAATATCGGTCAACATCGCTAATCGGTGTTCTCAAGCTTCCATAATACAGCAAATGGGGTGGATCACGGCCGTACAATATGCGAAATGGGGTAGTATTAGTGGAGGTATGAAATGAAGTATTGTACCAATACTCTGCCCAGGATAGCCACTTAACCCACTTAGTTGGTGAATCGGACACGAAACAGCGTAGATACGTTTCCAGACAACGGTTCACCACCTTCGTTTGCCCGTATGTTTGCGGGTGATAAGTTGTACTACGCTTCAGGGTAGTACCTTGCATGCAAAACAGCTCTTTCCAAAAGTTGCTCAAAAAGACCTTATCTCGACCGGACACTATTGATTCCGGTACCCCGTGCAAAAGCACCACTTCCCTTAAAAAAATCGAGGCTACAGTGGCTGCCTTATAAGAATGTTTTAAGGGAACGAAGTGAGCATATTTGCTGAGACGATCCACTATCACGAAAATTACTATAAATCCCTCAGATCTGGGTAACCCGACAATAAAATCCATGGTCACCTCCGACCAAATTGAGGTGGGTAACTCAAGCGGTTGCAAAAGGCCTCCTGGAGCCATAGTCGAATATTTCTGTCTTTGACAAATGTCACATTCCGCCACCATCGTTGCAACCTCGCTCTTCATGCCAATCCAATACATCTCCCTTGCCATCTGCTGGTATGTTTTCTGAGAACCCGAGCGACCACCTACTGCACTCTTATGAAACTCTTTAAATAATTGCGGAATGGACGCAGACCCCCACAGTAACACCAAACGCTTATTAAAAAGCACTCGGTTTTGTTGTACCTCATAACCAGACTGTATTTCTCGACCATCCAAGATTCGTTTTTTAAGAGCTTGGATTTCTGGATCCACCTCTAGAGCAGCCCATAACTCGGCCCAATTAATCCGAGAAGATGTGACCAATGCATTGAGTGTTGGGTTGGTGCTCTTTCGTGACAAAGCATCGGTGACGCTATTTTCCTTGCCTGGTCGATAATGAATTTCAAAATCATACCCCAACAATTTCGACAACCATCTTTGATGATCTTCAATGACAGTTTGTTGTTCCAACACGTATTTCAAACTCCGTTGATCGGTGTGCACCACAAATTTTCGCCCCAACAAATACGAGCGCCATTTTTGGATTGCCATTACTATCGCCATTAATTCTAGTTCATATACGAACTTAAGTCTAGCCCGGGTGCCTAGAACATGACTGAAGAAGGCAATGGGTCGATTTGTTTGCATTAAAACCGCTCCTAACCCATACCCTGACGCGTCGGTCTCTACCTCAAACTCTCGTTAAAATCTGGAAGAGCCAGAACAGAACAGGTACTCTTGTCATCGCGTCTTGTAGTTGTCGAAAAGCTATTGTAGCTGCTTTAGTCCACTTAAAACTATCTTTCTTCAATTGTTTCATCAAAGGCCAAGAAATTTTTCTGTAGTCTTTTACGATTTTTGATAATAACCCGTGAACCCTAAAAGCCCGCGAAGTTCCTGCAAAGTCGTAGGAATGGCCCACTCTACCATAGCTGCGATTTTAGCCGGATCTGCAGTTACGCCAGCTTCTGAAACTATATGACCCAAATATTCAATACGTCTCTGTGCAAACGGACACTTTTTCTTAATTGCTTACAACTTGTGTGCTCGCAACACTTCAAAGACCTCTTGCAAATGTTGACCATGCTCTGTTTCGGATCGGCTATAAACTAGAATATCATCAAAAAAAAAAACAAGCACAGAGCGTTGTAACAAAGGCTGGAATACTTTATTCATTAATGACCGGAACGTTGCCGGTGCATTCATTAGACCGAACGGCATGACGAGAAACTCGTAGTGCCCCTCGTGAGTTCGAAATGCGGTTTTTGGCAAGTCCTCTGGTTTCATTCGGATCTGATGGTAGCCCGATTTAAGATCCACTTTAGTGAAAACGACCGCCCCGTGTAACTCGTCCAACAGTTCATCGATCACCGGAATTGGGAATTTATCAAACACGGTGGCTTTGTTCAACGCACAGTAATCCACACAGAAACGCCAACTACTGTCTTTTTTCTTTACGAGTAATACTTGACTGGAGAAGGGACTAGTAATGGCATGTATCACTCCTGTTTGTACCATCTCATGCACAAGTTTCTCTATTTCGTTTTTCTGGGCATGCGGGTAACGATACGACCTTACGCTGATCGGTGAAGAACCTTCTCGAAGCACTATCGCATGCTCGTGGCTGCGAGATGGGGGCAGCCCTGGCGGCATTTCAAAAATATCATCAAAGCTATCGATGAGGATTTGAACCGAAGGTGGGGTCGGCAGTGGTGGTGGGCCCCAGGTCGTTTCGGCTAAGCTCAAATGTACCACGAATTCCATGTCTTCCCGTTGTAGTATTTTAGTCATTGATTTACACAAGACGAGGGTTTTTGATAGGCTTGGGTTGCCCATAATGGTGACCTGTCGGTTGCCTTCCCAAAATTGCATCCTTAATTCCCGCCAGTTAACCGTCATATCTCCTAAAGTCTGTAGCCACTTGATGCCCAAAATAATGTCTGATCTTCCCAACTTCAGAGGGTAAAAATCTTCTACAATTTGGAGCCCCGGTAGTGTTAAAACAACCCCTCTGCAAGTCCCTTGACTCCAATCCATCATACCGTTTCCCAATCGAACTTTCACCGCGCCCGTCTCCTATACTTCCATCCCGAGTTTGTCGACCACTTCTGTGGATACGAAATTATGCGTCACCCCACAATCGATCAATACCAATACCTTAACTCCCCCGATGTTACCCGTTACCTTCATAGTCTGGGGTGGGGTAAGCCCACTGACCGAATACAGGATACCTCCACAATGTCGAGGTGTGCGTGATCTGGTTCGGGTTCATCTTCCTGGTCACTCTCCTCCTCATCCACGAGGAGCACTTGGAGAGTCTTGCTGGGGCACCTATGGCCCTGGTGCAAACTTTTCATCACAACGAAAACGTAACCCCTTTGCGCTTTTATCGGTGAATTCCGCATCAATTAATCTTTTAAATTGTCCCATAGGTCCTGTCGTGCCGGTGTTGATGCCACCCTTCTTGTCGCTCGTGGCTGCGAAGTAGGTGGTATAGGTAGGGTGGTTACTTGGAACCCTAGTCGTACCTCCCCCCACCTTGGATTCTCCCATGCTAAACTTATTATCGTCCATCCTGACTGCAATTTTCATGGTTTGCGCTACCGTATCCGGTTGCAAGACTCTGATTGTCGACCGGAGTTTTGGTTTGAGTCCATCGATGAATGCTCCCTCCAGTACCTTCTCAGGTAGATCTCCAAGTTCTCCCGCCATCTTTTCAAATTTACTAACATATTCACGTCTAGCCCCGTCTTGATGAATTTCCAGTAATTGCTCATACGGCCCTCCCTCTTGAGACGGTTGAAAGCGCTCTAACAACCGTTGTTTCAAATCTTCCCATGAGTGGAAAGGATTGCGCCCTTCACACAGCGGTACCAAGCCAAAGCCACCCCATCCACGCATATTGCGGTCGGATGGTCATGTTCCTTGATGCCTTGAATTTCAAAGAATCTTTCAACCTGGTAGATCCACCCATACCGGTCATTCCCGTCGAAAATAGGAGCTTTAATTTTTCTGAAATCGCCCAAGGGGTCCCGCCCCTTGCCCTCAAATCGGCTGCTTTTCTTTCCATCAAAAGCTTCGTCATCAGAGAACGACCCAAATCCAATTCTTGATCCCGTACCTCTATCTTTCTTCGATTCATTCTTTCCGACTGCGAGAGTTAGGTCGCTAATAGCCTTCAACACTTCTTGGAATTTCATCACGTTCTTAGAGCGATTAGCCTCTGTTTCCTCTCGCATCTTTGCCATGTCTGCTTCCAAATTGGTGATCCGATCGGTATTGCTCACCATCTTGCTACCAGAACCGAACTGCTCTGATACCAAATAATATGAACTTGGCCTGAATTCAAGAACAGGTGATCTCTTAAAATCCGATGAGGTCTTATTTTATTAATTTCATAAGGAAAAACAATCAATGGAGCACCATATTTATAGTGTCCTGCTAACAAAAACAATCCTAAAAAGACTCAAATACGTAACTTGCCAAATAAACAATCCTAAAAAGACTAAAATACTCAAATAAAGACTTTCCTAATTTAAATAATTAAATAAACCCAGCTAGCCTTATCCTTCCATCCAACCTATCAACGTCTCTGATAAACTCTCCCGAACCTCTGGGGCGTATCACTACCCAAGGTAGACTAATAACACGAGTTCTCGAGCAAAAGAGCATTTTTGCTTGTCCTAGCAAGAGATTCAGAAACTGGTATAGCCCCATAAACACTTACATACTACCCCCAACAAGACAATATTGTTTTATAGAAAATTGTAAAATTCATGACCATACCCAGTGAGTGGGCAGGTGTCTACTTCTCAAATTAAACAAATGTATTAATGCAACTGGTAAAATGTGCCATAACTCTTTGTTAGTTGCATACATAAACAATCTAGTACATTTTTCTTATCGCACCAAAATAAAGTTTTAAACAGACGATGAAGGGGAACTATCATTTAAAATTTAAGGAAGTCCAAAATCCAAGTAGATAGGTGATTATCCTGAACTACAAGGAAGGAGACATATATGTGGACACATTCTGGAGAATTTATACAAGAAATCAACAAATACAATCTAGGATAAAGTACAACCTTCCAGAAGACGATACCCGCAGAGCTCTTATCAGCGCACGCTCAGGCTTTTGTAAGACCCTAAATGTTCGATTATTACCGCTCCGAAGGCATGTAATTACAAGCCTATTGACATAGCCTCCAGACTTCTCACTTCCCTGTATTGAGTATGTTATTGTTGTATGTGATGACAAATGAATGTGGTTTGTTATAGATCTCATGTAATCTTTAAGCAGCTTAAGAGAGGAAAAAATATTATGTGAAAGGAAGAGCTCGGAATACAGCAATACATGACCTAGAAACAAAAAGGAAACAATAAGGCCAACCAAGAAATTAAAAAAACTTGAAAGATGAATTCACTGGTTTTAGTATGTTCAATACCTGACTGTACGAGAACGAAACAAGTCTAGTATTTCCAAGCCACCTTAACCCTCTTACAACATTATCATGGACAGAAAAACTTGCAGCTACAGCATTTGCAGAAACATCAATAAGGTCAATTGAACCCCTTTGAGTTCCCAAAGCAACCAGTGGAACAGCCACAGCAGGATGGTTTCCCCCACCTTCACATGTAATATCTCATTGACTAACTGATATATACAATCTTTAGTATCCAATAACTTTTTTTAACAACTACGAAATTTGGTTTCAGAAGATACACAGAAAATTATAGAACACATAACTAACTTGCCAAAGTAGCAATCAGAGAAGGAGATGGCACGGCCAACACAGTCACTGTTGAAGAAAGCAGATGAAGCTGGCCAACAAGGCTGATCTGCATCAAGATTTTGATCGACAAAATGAATGAATACCAAAGGAAACAATGATAAACAAGTACAAACCTATAAATAAATATTTTTCAAGGTTTAGATACTTCTCAATGATTGATAACATATTAATATCGCTGCCAACGGATAAATGCTTGAGATAAGATAAGCCAAACCCAAACAATTACTCTCAGGGTACCATCATAATGAAAGCAAACATCCTTTAGACAGAGAACAGGAGCTCCAAAATTCAACTGGTTTCCCTCGCGGTATGATAAGCCACTTGACACCGCCCCTCCAGGAAGGATATAGAGGGAAAAGAGAGGCTTATCAAACAAGTAATCTCAGCTTTTATGTGTCATGCAAGAAAATAGAGTTTCTTGAATCAACCTTTATTGTACCCTTCATGTTGAAGTTATATATTTCTTAACTTAGCAAGAAAACAAGGTTCTGTCATACAACCAAACCAAAAAAGTTCCCATTAGATCATTAGAAAGGAAAATAAGCTATGCTCGTCTTTTATGTTAAACGAAAAGCAGATGTGAAGATCCTGACCAATGATCAGTAAAAAAATAACATAACACTTGGACTCTAAACCCAAACTAAAATTTGAAACGACTAAGAAAGTTCATGTGGCAGTGTTATTGAAGGTTCCAGATGACACCTCATGTCTTCAGTACTTACAAGTAATCATATATAGATTCATACACCATTTTGTTATATCACAGAGATATGGGAATGAAAGAATTTAGTTCTCGATCTTGGTACAGCCACTGCTTAGATCATAATATTGAGCCTATAGCAAGTAAACAACCATAGGATTGATGCAATATGGTTCCAGGAAAAGTTACAGTATCAACCTTAAGTGTAAGCTTGTCCTGGCTCACAGTGGAGGCTGATGGATAACCCTTGCCAATTTTCACATCATCTGTTTGTTTAGCCACATCCTTCAGGGAGTCATCGGAAGCTCCCGTGTCAGATTTTGGATCTAGAACTGGCACTTTACTGACTTCTGTAACATTTGCAACATCTAACATATCTTTCTGATTATCTGTAGGGCCTTCAGAAGTCAGAAGCCAATTCCATATTTTTCCATCATCAGTAACGGATAGCAAATGTGTTCTAGAAATGATATGTGATTCATCACGAAAATCAAAAGGATTATCAAAATCCATATCAAAGTCCTTGTCAGAAGATGAAGTATGAAGTGCATCAGAAAAATGCTTGGCAACATTTTGGAGGGTGGAATTCGATCGAGAAATTGCAACTGCCAGAACCAAGGGAGAAGGGACAGATGTGCCAATTGAGGGCACCAATTCTTCCATCATACACATCTCGTGCACCTGCTCTCCTCTGCGTTGATACGCAAATGAGTATATACCCCAAATGCTCATAAGAACATTAATGCATACACATATATGTACGTAGGTGAAGACATTCTAGTTAGCATCAAGGAGGAAAGAAGATTTTGTTAATGGGAAACACAGAGAAACCAGAAGCACAATTAAGTTATATGTTCATCCAAGCTGGAGTGCAAAACTCCAGTTTACAGGAAGCAAGAGTAGCTTATCATTTCTGCAAGTAAAATAAGAAATCATCTTTATAGGGCAGTTAATTTAGAGACAATTCATATAGCACATTCAGTTATTTTACAACTTCTTTAACTTCAAACGCGTTCAGTAGACTATCAACATGATTATTCACCGACATATTCAAAATAAGGCAAAAGTTGATGCAATTTTGTTATACCGTGAAGATATATTATTGTTTTACCCTCAAAATATTACAGTGTTGGCTTATTTTAACTTCTAGAGGAACAAGCTTGGTCAATTCAGAAAAGATTGTCCTTGTACGGGAATGTCAAATCCATTCATAGGGAATGTTTAAATCAACAGAGGCACAATAGATTTTCTTCTTTGTTAGAAGAATGGGAAGGGGATAAGGATCTGGGGAATATAGATAGATGCACTATAAATGTGGTTCAATTTATCTAATCATCGGAAACAAAGTTGAAATTCGATCACTCAAATTTTCAATTGATTGGTATGTGCCACTAGAAAGTAAAGGCATGGAAAAGGTATATGGATGTGCATGTTTTATCTATATATCATGCACATACATATGATAGCAGAAGAAAGAGTACTTATATATCATGCACATACATATGATGGCAAAAGAAAGAGTAGTCCCAAAGATCAGTATATACTAGCTTCAATTCATCATGCACAAGTGGTCTGTTATGCTAATATGTTATATTATTAAGAGTAAATTACGTTTTTGGTCCTTGTGGTTTGTTACAAATTGCGGTTTTCATCCCTATGATTTGTTAAAAAATACGGTTTTCGTCCCTGAGGCTAAACACTACTTTTAAGTATGAGGGACTAAAATAGAAATGAATTGTAAACCACAGGGACGAAAATAGCAATAAATTTTAAATCACAAGGGCAAAAATGGTAATGAATTGTGAACCATGGGGATGAAAATCATAATTTCAAAATCACAGGGATGAAAATAGAAATTTTCAACAAACCACAGGGACTTAAAACGTAATTTACTCTATTATTAACTATCCTCATATTGCTGTGTTAAGTTTCCAGTTGCTAATTATCAGAGATCCAAAAATGTTCAGGAAGGTAATTACAAAATTTCAAATACAGAACATGGTATGCTTAGCTCTATATAAGGAGAAACAAAAATTTGTGACTTCGATAATATGCCTCCAAAGGTCTTGTGATCCCAGCCTATGTATAAACCATGCAGAATTGCAGATTCGGTACAGGATTACAGAATCTTTACTCTTGATTCACAAGACCTTTGCTATACCCTACTACTGAATCAAGGATGCCTTCCAATATGGTTTAGATTATAGCTCCATCTCCATTGATATGCAATGAGACAGAGAAATGCTTTCACTGTTAGAAAACCAATTTAACTACCAAACATTTTAATGTGAGCAGGGTTGTAGACAAGACAAGCCCACTTGTGTGAGCTCGTGAGCTGATTTGTCAAAAAGTTTGGGAAGCCCAAGCTGAGCCGAACTGGGACCAAGCTGGTCTCAAGGGTGGGCTTAGCAACTCAATGAGCCTGAATAATCTGATCTTAAATGACCCTAGTCTACCAGCATGAGCTTATAAAGACCATGGTGTTATCTATATTTATTTAAACTGCTCTTAGCCTCTTGGGAACTTTCAATCTTAAATTTCCAGAATATAATCTTATTTGGAGGGTTTACATTTAGTTTTCTATATTAACTGCACTAATGCTAGAGCTAATACGAGTACATAGGAATCAAGCCTATACGGACCGAGCCAAAGCTCGAGCTATATTGAGCATAGGAACCGAGCTAATGCTTTGAGCCTTAAGAGAGCCGAGAAGAAGCTTGGCAAGTCATAAGCCTGCTAAATCGGCTTTAAATACACACCTCTAAATGTGAATATGAGGCTTTCCACTTCCCTTGAATTCCAACAACTAAACAAATCACGGCACATCAAGAAATTGATGGTTGGCCAAATCTAAGCCACATTGCAATAATGAAACTTGGAATCAAAGAATTTACATAACAAGATGCCGCAAATACGCAAAAGCATATATTATTTACGTTTTAGTTAAGCAACACTATTTACTTACTCCTTTCTCCGCCAAGCGCTGAGCCGCCCATCAAGATGAGCACAAAAAACCAGCTCCATGCTTGGGTCTGGCAACACGTCAAGAAACTTCCCGCACCCTCTGGGTAAACTGGCACGAGAAAGAGCCGTTTCATACTGCATATCAAACACGACTAATTCCCTCGGAAATATAACATACAAAATGTGCCTCCAATGAGGCGAAAACGCCAGCTTCACTGAATAAGTGGGAAACAACGCAGTTGCCGGGGAATTAGTAACTGTACCGGCAGAACCAACGCTGATACCGCCTTCTCTCTCCAGCTTATTCAATTCAGAGGCATCGGTAGCGATTTGAAATTCTTCCAGTACGACATCAGATTCGGACACGTCGCCTTGGACTTTGATCGACAGGAGAAAGCCTTTTAAACCTATGGCACACAAATGGCGAGAATCAAAGGGGTCACGTTTAATGCATGAGAAGAGTTCCGGCGCGGCCTCGTATCTGAAGAAGCAACGTCCTGTGGATGTGTTGTAGAGAGATAGGAGTGATGGCCCTGTTAGTGCAGCGACGATCCACGAGTCAGATCGGGCTTGGATCCAGCAAAGGTCTTGGATTCCCAGTTTGGAATTGAGATCCGTTTGGAGGAAGAGCAAAGGGCATGATTTGAGGCGAAGGTCGAGAAGGCAAATACGGCCTTGGCGGTCTCCAGCAGCAAGGAGAAGATGAGAATGCGATGAAGTAGGGTCATGGGAGAGGAGGTCTAGACGGAGCGTGGTAGGGCACCAACGGACGGAGGTGACAAAGGGGGACATTGAGGTGGAGGAAGAAGTACTGATGGTGCCGGGGTTAGCAGCAGGAGGAGGGATAGGAAATACAGAGACGAGTTGCATGGAGCGAGTATCGAGGATAGGGACGGTGCTGCCAGCGGCATAGGCGAGGAGGCCGGTAGATACGATGTCGGCGGATCCGCCGTTGTTGCGGGAGGGCGGTCCCGGTAGCATGCAGTCCGACGAATTGGTCATTTTCTGTTGAATCAACGACATTGTATAGTTTCAAATCTCCGGTGACCTGATTCCGGTGTCGTGATCGCCGATCGGGCCGTCGTCAGTTACGAATCTGCTACAAAGGTCGTTGTAGTAATTTTACATTGATGACATGAACTATTTTCAGTTTTAGTACTTCTAATTTAGAAATTTTATATTTATGTCCCTAAACTTTTATAATATGGTTTCCTGTTAGATTAGTTAAAATTGCTTTCACAATGAAGGAACAAATCATGTTTTAGGGAACATTTACCACTTACCCGGTAAGCACTTACCAACAAGAGTCACTACTCTTACTTACCTAATCGGGTAACATTTTCGGCCATTAGAATGGATTGGTGGTAAGCAGTTTTTTTACCCGTTTACTCGACAAGATTTTCGGTCCTTGCTATGCCTCTTACCAAGTAAGCTTCTTGGACTCTTGGTCCTTACAATGCTCACATGGTAATGTAAACGACACCCAATAAGAGCTTACCTAATAAGAAAAACGGCCCCTTCGTGTCTTCTACATAAATCATTCAAAATAGCTTAAATGACATAACCTCAACAATAGTAAAGAAATAAGACGGCATACATGATGGTCTCATAACATTCAACACTGAAAACCAAACATAAACGTCAAAAGTCTATACAAATTGAATTGGACCGGAAACAAGGTTAATGGCTTACTATTGGATGTGTACACGTTGCTAGTTCATCCACCATATCAAACTGGGGCAATATTGAAACATCTATAAATAATTGAATTCAATCAACCTTAGTCTTCAGCTAAACCTCCTCTATATTTCAATTGTCAGCTAATATGCTCGACGAGTTCATTGCTTTCGTTCTAAAACCTCGAAAACAGTGCATACTAACGATATTGAAAAACTATCCGTGTAAAAGATACAACATATTATATGTTGAAAACCCTTTCAAAAGACATGTTATACAAAATTTGTAACACTGTTGAAACACATAAGCACCATAATGCATATTTTGTACCGAGAGTTACGTGACTAATCTATATGATGTCATGCGATACGATGATACTTGATGTAAATTGGTCCTTACTAAAGCTAAGGCTTTCATCACTTTCTGAAACATCACAGATACTTTAGTTATGTTCTCACACATACTAAAAATACTATTTTCACACATAACATAACTGATATATTAAAATACTTTTAGCATGTTAAAGCAGTTAAAAAATGTATCGCCTAACAATGAACTGACTCTAAAACATACTAGACATGTATCTCATGTAATTTACCTGAAGACTCGCATGATCGTGTAAGGTAAGATGGGATTGAACTTATATTAATATAAGCATCTACACATACACATCAGACACAGAAGGTCAATGGCTAACCAATACTTACAACTCTAATGTATCAAACTTTTTAATAGACTGACACTGTTGAGATATTGAATCATACAATCATGCCAAGTCATTCACAAAAACTCATACCGTCATGCCATATCTTAATTCTAATATTATAATTTTTATGCATATTTTTATTCATGAAATAGTGATCTTTCATAAACATGTTTAATTTCTGATATTCTAATTCTTATTACACATATTTAATTAAATTTACAATGTTTAAATGATAAAAATAATAAAATTAAAATTACAATGTTGTAATAGAAATTGGTGATGTTATAATAAGATAATTTTAAAAGAACAATGTAATAATAAGAAATATCATGTCAGCCAGGGGCGGAGACAACGTATAAAGGGGGGGGGGGGTACCCCAGTCAAAAAGTTAAAAAAAATTATCTAGGTTAAAATTTATGTTTTATAGAACTTACCTTAATTCCCTCATTAGAATTTTCCACAAGACCCCATATCTTGCCTGCGATTTCCCAATCCCCAATCACTGGCGATCGACCACTCCACTGTCGTCACCCACCGAGAAACATCGCAAAACCATCGAGCAACAACAAATCAACAATTGATTTCTGATTTACTTCTCGCTCTGTCTCTCAGCAACCGAGCAACAGAGTTGGTTTTTGATTTCAACTTTCCTCTCTGTTCTGTCGATGTCTTCATTTTTGCTTCCTGTTTCGGCTATTTGGATTTCTTGATTTCTGTTTTCTTTCCTAACTTACCTTGTTTGGATTTCTTCATTTCTTATCATTTTGCTTTGGGGTTTTTGCTAGATAGCAGACAAAATTGGGGCTTTTGCTCTAGCCTTTTTAAGCTTTTGCTAGTGTGTAGACAAAATGGGGGCTTTTGTTAGAAAGTAGACAAAAATTGCAAAAGTGAACAGGTTAAAAAAATGGGGATTGCTTTATGTATCACCCTTGTTTTGGTAAATAGTAAGTAGACACACATATTAATATTTAATAGATGTTGTTTCTATTAATTTGTCTATATATGATGTATTTGTTGACTGTTGACCCCACACCCTACTGAGTCCTTTATGCATTATGGTTTAGATTTTCCCCCTTGTTTTGCTAGAAAATGGAAAGATTTCTGAAAAAAAAGGCATCAACGCCCAACTGCGATAATATTGGAGAACCTTTAAGTGGAAACAACTTGCGCAATGATATTCCTTCAATGCCTAGGGAAGTTGAGTTGAACAATCTTCCATCGGATCCAACTGAAAGGAAAAGAATTTTACAATACCACCCTAATCAAAGAGATGAAATTATACGAAACCATTTGATTAAAGGACCGTGTTAACCACGTGGTCACGACTTTCCGAGAAGAATAATTGGGAATAAGGCAAGGCGTTGGACCCGGCTTGGTTTGATCGATACGGTAATTGGTTGGAGTATAATTTAAAAATAGATAAAGCTTTTTTGCTTATGTTGTTACTTATTTAGAGATCAATGTGGGGGACAAGGTGGGAGTGATGCTTTTTTTAAATGAAGACTTTAGTAGTTGGAATAAAACTGAAAGATTGACTACTCATGTGGGCCATATTAATAGTTTCCACAATGGAGCTGTAAAGAAATGTGAGGACCTAATGATACATGGTCAATCAATTATGGTTGCCTTTCAAAACAAAGTGATCTTCAGAAGAATGAATATCGTATTCGGTTGAAAGCTTCTTGGAATTAATAAAATTAATCCAGGATCAAAATGAGGCTGTCAGTAAGGTTATATTAGAAAATGTTCCCGGGAATAATCTAACGGTGAGGCCAAGTATTCAAAACGATATCGTTCACTGCTTTGCACAAGAGATACTCAAACATATTTTCCAAGAGATTAGTGATGATGTGTTTTCCTTATTAGTTGACGAGTCGAGTGACATATCTAAAAGGGAACAACTGGCCGTGGTTTTGCGATATGTTATATATGGTATTGTTAAGGAAAGATTTATTGGTCTTGTACATGTAAAGAACACAAATGCTTTATCTCTTATATCTGTGATTGAGTTCTTATTTGTTGAACATGATTTGAGTTTGAAAAAGGTTAGAGGCCAAGGTTATGATGGAGCAAGCAATATGCGTGGCCAATTCAATGGTTTGAAAGCTTTAATCATGAAAGAAAATAGCTCAACATATTATGTCCATTCTTTTGCTCACCAACTTTAGTTAGTTGTTGTGACGGTCGCACATAAACACATCGAGACTGGAAAATTCTTTGACATGATAGCATCTGTGATGAATGTGGTTTGTGCTTCTTGCAAGCGAACATATATGGTTCGATAAAGTCAAAAGGAGAAAGTACAATAAGCCGTAGCGGTGAAACTGAAACAGGTAGTGGGTTAAATCAAGAGCTTTCTCTTGGAAGACCTGGAGATACTTGATAAGGTTCACACTACAAAACACTTAAGCGTTTTGTTAATTTGTTTCCATATGTTATTGAGGTGCTTCAGTATGTTGAAGATGTGTGCTAGAATTCTTACAACCAATGTCAAGCAAATGGTCTTCAAATATATTTCCAATCATTTGATAGTGTCTTTTATGTGCACTTGATGTTGCATATTTTGGGGGGTCATAGAATCATTGTCACGGGCTCTTTAGAAAAAAGATCAAGATATCTTGAACGTTGTTTCATTGGTGAAGTCAACCAAGCGACAATTGCAACAATTCATAGTTGATAAATTTTGTCGGCTTCTTGAGAAGATCTCTTCTTTTTTGGGAAAACACAACATCGATACAGTAAACATGGAGAAGTTTATGTCAATCCAAAAAATCGAAGACACAAGACAATTATCACATATCAACATTATTACAAATACGAATGTTTTAACACGGTTGTAGATATGCAAATTCAAGAGTTTGGTGACAGATTTGATGATGTAAGTTCCGAATTGCTCACTTGTATGGCCGCTTTGAATCCTCATTACTCATATTGTGACTTTGACCAATCAAAGTTACTAAGATTGACAGAGTTTTATCCTGATGTTTTTAGTGATGACGAAAGAACTACTCTTGAGCACCAACTTCAACTCTACATTGACAATGTCCAACATGATGAATTATTTGCTAATTTCAAAGGTATATTCGAGCTTGGTAGAGTGATGATTAAAACAAGGAAACATCTTGTATTTCCTTTGGTTTATCGATTATTGAAGGTTGCATTGGTTTTGCCTATTGCAACCACAACAGTCAGGAGATGTTTTTCTGTAATGAAGCTTGTGAAGCCAACTTTGCGCAATCGAATTTGTGACGATTTTTTGAATGCTTGTGTCATTTGTGCCGTATAAAAAGAAGTACTTGCTAAGGTTACAAATCAAGATGTAATGACTCGTTTCAAATGATGAAAACTCGTAGAAATCAACTTATGTAATCACTTATTATTAATTACAATAATATGATGTGTTGGTACTTGTTAGTTCAAGTGACTCCAATCTATAAAATTCCTAGATCCATCACTGATGTCAGCACTATCGTACATGTAGACAATCTACATGGATAATGAGGTGACAAAGAAACCTGATATAATGGGTAAATTTAATTTAAAAGGTTACCAAATGCTATAACGGGTAAATTTTTGAAAGTATGATGCCGTAATAAAAAAAAATATTTTGAAAGTACAT